CAGGAGAATTCGAAGATGAATATCCGTCTGAATGAGTATCACATAGTAATGTTTCATGATAACCGAGTGACCTTCGAAAGCATTAGGAAAGAAGAAAGAATAGGAAAGGAAGGAAGGAGAGAGATTGTTGTAATTCATCGGGGACATTTTTTGCAAGATTGGTATGCACTAAAAACAGTAAAGGATCAGGAAGTGAGGACTACATAGATTGAGGTGGTAAAAAACAGGCGGAGAGAACGGGACTACGTGGGTTGAAATAATATCTTAGAAAGGAGGATTAAGAAAGGCAATTACGAGAGCCAATGATAGAAGAAGTTCATGGTCGTAACTCCAAAGGATGTGCCTGTAAACTACAAATATTTTATTATTCGAAGACACATATAAATGGCACTCAGTTTTCAAATTGCTACACGGCGCGATTTGATTTGAAAATGACCCAAATAACATATTGCATCGAAGGATATTCAGTCACTTCTAGCAAATATAAATAACATTTTTTGGTCAAATATTCTCATTATTAAGGACTCCATCGAGTATTGCCGGGTAAGTAGAGTTGTGTGACTAATTCTGCTTATAGCAGGAGCATGATATTTTTGAATATCGAGTTTTATGGAGTTACTATCAATATGTCGGTCTAACTGAGTGGTTATTTTAACAATGCTGAGCATGGAATTTGCGTGGCTGTAGAGTGAGCATTTGTTTATTAATTAAAATTTTATATCCAACTAATTCCAGAGCAAAGCTGCAGCAGTTCATTAACATCATTAGCGAATTCCACTCGATCTGTTCCTGGATTAATGTTCGCGGACGTTTTCGATGGTCGGCCAAAAATGGAGTTGCCGCCGAATCTCTATTGCTTTACCTGTAATTCCTAACATTGCACTTATTGTATGTAATCGACATGCTATAGTTCCATTGAAGAGTTTATTATTCAATAAAATTTCATAGCTACTGCAGTTAAACACAGAAGAAATACTGGCTTTTGCCTCTCAACAAACACGACCCTATGGAGCTTGAGCAATCATGTTACATCTCCAAAAAAGTCACTATTTGCAAAGATCAAAAGGGGAGTGGATAGCAGTATTGGGAAAACTGCCTAGTAGTGTAAGGGTGTAAAGTCTGAACAATTCGAGGGAATCAAAAACGATGAGATCGTCGCAATCGTGGATCAGCTTGCGGTGGAGTCATGGTTAGTCCAAAGTACAATATTTTTTCGAGGCCGCTGTCTTGTTCGAGCAAATCTGAAAGTTCCCATTCTCTTTGAAGCGCTATGTCTGTATCTGTCGGGAAGTTTGGCATATCACAAAAAGGGGCGGGATGGGGGTGGGAGGTGTGCCAGAACATAAGGTGTAAAGATAAGCTATGCGATTTCTTGCTAAAGTGGGCTAGCACCGAAATGGGCGGACGGGCGGGCGGGGGGGGGGGGCAAAAATTTTATATAATATAATTGCAGAGCATAGCGAAGAGTGTAAATGTGAACAGCCAGCGTGGTGGGTTAGAATGCGATCGACTGCCTTCCGCAGTCTTATTACAAATGTATAATCGGGCCTAGATATCAAAGGCAGATCTGCACTGTCCAAGTCATGCTAAGTATAAATTACTTCTTGGAGGAACATCGCTTGTGTATATGCGTGCGTCCAACTGGAGGTTGCTTGAAACAAAAATACACATTTCCCAGGCAATTCCAGAGGAAAAGAACTGGGCGAACGCTCGGCGCGAAGAAGGACCAACACCTTTTATGGTAGGATGAGACTTCAATTCGAAGGTGCAAGGTGCTAACTTTAACCGATGTCAAGACTTTGCGAATCGCGGGCGAATGGTAGGGCTCGCGCTCGAGGCGTACGCGGGCCGTGAAATCACTCATTGGTGGTACCGGCTGGGTGAAAAACGCGATCCGCTGCGGACGCTAGGCGAATCGCGCGATCGCAAGTCTGACGATGGGCCTTAGTTGGGGGGGGCCGCGGCGCGCGGCAGTCTGCTCGCCTGGCATGTTCGGAAATCCGTGGGCCAGGGGGAGTGTAGGCAGTCTAGGGGGGTGGGGGCAGTCACTTGACATGCGTGAAAAGCTGGAATGTTCGAGTTTACACTGTCTCGTCGAGAGAGCCCAGGTGAGCAGACTGCCGCGCCGCCGCGTGCCCCCTCCCCCTAAACTAATTTGTGCGTTAGCACCGGTGGGCAAGATTGAGATATGAGGTTTTGATCGCTGCAGCCATGTGTGATGCACTTCAGGCGAGGGAGAGACGGTTAGCATGCAAAGCCAAATTGTATTTTTACACGAAGAAAAGCTCTTTCTGAACCGACAGGAATAGACGGGTAAATACTCACGATCAGAAATCCACGTCTGAGGTCGAAAGCATCATTAAGTGGGAAGCGCGTCTTCAGGAAAAGTAAGAATTTACTGATAGATACCTCTAATCTTCATCATTATGACATTCTTGGCGACGCATATTTTAGTGCAGTGGCTGGGGGGGGGGGGACAGCACGGGGAAGGAAGTTTGTCAAACGCAGTGACGAGTGTCTAAGGTCTGCATTAAAGGAAACCCAATAATCGTGGAAAGAGTCAACCACAAATAAATAATTTCTTTGTCCATTCCTCCCGTTGGTCAGGTTTTGGCCTTGCAGAAAACAGCGGTGCTGCGTGATCAAACCTTCTTGCAGCGTCCAAATGATCTATCAGCGGAGGTGAAACCAGGGGAGCCAGTGAGCTTTCCCAAGTTTCCTTCATTTATCTAAACACTACCAAATTCTCTGCGACCACAGTTCCACTGAAGCGTTCGCGCGAAGCAAGAGCTTAGTGCAATAGTGCGTAGGGTCACGTACTTGCGTCGTCACCGTAACTCCATATTTTGAAAATCTTTGTAATCATCTAGTTGAGGGTCGCTTTTGCTTACTTTTATACCGTGGTAGAGTACTCTTGTGCTAGGATGAACAAATTCGGTGTTATGAGGAGCTTTTGGGACATGGCTATGCCTTCCCTGACTTCCAACGTCTTTTGCAAGCTGTTCTGCCATTTTCTTTCTTTTTTATGCTCCTACCTGAACTGTCTTGAGGCCTGAATTCCTCTTTTTGCCTTTTACTTCATTCCGATTTCTGAATCCCTTTTTCCAACCTTCTTCTTAATGCTCTTTTCATTCTTCCACCTATTTCGTTCTTCCTTTTTATTTGAGTCTGCTGGTTTATTTGATGTCTGCAATCTAATAAACAAATGCTTTTATGTTTTCCGCTTAAATTCGAGTTGATCCCAGTCAAAGTTGTCCTTTTTTGTTCGTATTTACTCTTTTTGAAGGCTATTTGTTTTTTTAATGGATGAATTTAGGGAAAATGGAACGATTTCTCCGACTCGGCGGTCTAGGTGGTGGAATCGGACAGGTATTTACAAGATATAATATTTACCTATATTTCTTTGCTTATACTACTGCTGATATTTGTTTTACCGAATAACGTCAAATGGAACATTTATTTGAGTTCTGGATTTTTTGCGACTTTTCCCAGTTTCGTCATTAATAGGGAAACTTCTTTTACCTTATTCTGGCCAAGCAGGTATTCATTTAGTTTGGTGGAGGTCCTCCATCGGATTCGAACCAGGTGGATACATCAGAAACGGTATACATATCGTCGCTTGCTCTACTCAAGATGCTCAAGCACGGAAGAGCCGGTGTTCCAATGGAGGTGCTCGCTTTTTCTGTTTGTGCTTTTCTTTATTGATCCTAAGATCAAATGTTGGCACATTGTGGACAGCGTGCGGTAGGAAATATGGATTACGATTTATTTAGTATTCTTACATTGCAAAGTTCTCTGAGCATTTTCAAAGTCGGACGACGTATGTAACAATATTGATGGTTCATTATTCGATGAGCTGGTAGAAAGATGAGGGCGCATTCATAGTTAGTAGTACGATCGTAACGATCGCACAACATCGGATGCGTATCGATCAATCCTCGGACACGTCTGACGACGATCGATATGCATCCAATGTTGTGCCATCGTTACGATCGAGACGAGCGACAACTGAAATGCGCCCTGAGGGCTAAATAGAGGGTAAGATGAGGGAACGTAACGATATTTGATCCCTTCTCACAACGCATGACATATTCGATTCCTACTTAAGCAAGCGTATTAACAACATGAATGGGAAACGTTGTGTATCAATATTCAACAGGGCTCCGCAACGGGACAAGTTAAAGGAATCTTCCACGGAAAAAGCTCCGCCCTCATTACCACAGAAAACGATACCTTAAAGGAATCTTCCACGGAAAGAGTGATCATTTTGTCTTGTGTGTAGGATTAGTATTATCGAAACTAACGCTTATGTTCCGTTCTTTTTGCTATGCTCATGAGGCTAGGGGCCTAATAATTTATCGTTTTCTGTGGTAATGGAGGCGGAGCTTTTTCGGAAGATTCCTTTAAGCTTGAATAGCTTGTACGAGATAGATCCGATCTGACCTATGCACGTATCTATCCAAATTGTGTCAATAATTCTGTGTTCTGAGTTTAACTGATCTCAGGATCTGAATTTGTAGGTGATGGGTCTGATGTTGGGTGAGTTTGTCGACGAATACACCGTGAACGTCATTGATGTCTTTGCAATGCCTCAGTCTGGAACCGTAAGTTCGTTTCAATACAACTAGTTTTTTTTTCTTAATTTCAATTTTTTCAACTGTTTAGGGAGTATCCGTCGAGGCCGTAGACCCAGTATTCCAAGCTAAGATGTTGGATATGCTTAAACAAACTGGTCGACCTGAAATGGTCGTTGGATGGTTAGCTATCGAGATTCTATTTTCTTAAATGATTATCTACCTTTCATAAGACCAAGTTTGATCTGGCATCCTTTTTAAGGCCCAAGTTTTAAATAGTATCTTATATACAGGTATCACTCGCATCCGGGTTTTGGTTGTTGGCTTTCCGGTGTTGATGTTAATACTCAACAGTCTTTTGAAGCTTTATCGAACAGAGCTGTTGCCGTAGTCGTCGATCCTATTCAGTCCGTCAAGGGAAAGGTTTGTCCACCCAGCAATTTCTCTCGATGAATCTAATGCTTTGTATATCATGGTTTTCACTTGTTTTTCTGAATGGCTCGGTTTAGGTGGTCATTGATGCTTTCCGTACTATCAATCCACAGACAATGGCACTCAACCAAGAACCGCGGCAAACAACCAGTAACCTTGGTCATTTGCAGAAGCCCAGTATTCAGGTGTGTGATTCTTTGGACCACCTTTCCGACAATGAGACTTGCAATTCTTTCGAACCAGATGTAACATTTCTTTTCTCATTTAGGCTTTAATTCACGGACTTAATCGACATTATTACTCGATCCCCATTGCGTATCGGACTCATGATCTAGAGCAGAAGGTTGGAATCTCTCTTATTCCCGGTCAAGTTTTTAAGCCCTAATTCCTTTTCACTTTTTTTTAGATGTTATTGAACCTCAACAAACAGTCCTGGATGGACTCACTAGCTGTGCAAAATTATACCAGTTGTAGTGACAAGAACAAGGACAGCATGATGGCGATGTTAAAGCTTGCCAAACTTTACAAGAAGGTAATCCCTATGTTTCTGCAAATTGCTTCGAGTATTTCTTCTTTGAATATGAGGCTTTC